TATTGAGAAAATTTTGTATAAAGAGGAATATGAAAGATAATCACAATACATTTATAATACAATGGATATGAATTTCATGTAAAATATCTTTCTCAAGGATAGTAGGCAGCTCAAAAGAGAAACCAAAGGGTTATGTCTTTGGGCTGCCTATGTATAACTAAAGTAAGATTAATGTAAATTAAAGGTAATTACAATGAACAAAGAAGCATAAAGGCAAATATACTTAGTTAGATTTTGATATAAATTAACAATAATCATATGAATATAAGGGTATTGGTAAGTTGTTAGTAGGATGTTGGTGTATAGTCAGTATAGCATGGGAAGATTGTCAGTAGGATGTAGTGTCTCAATATTGTGCTGGGGTAGGATGTTGTAGCGTGCTGGTAGGTTGTCAGTAGGGTGTTCATAGGTGGTCATTAAGGTGCTGGTGGATGGTCAGTAGGGTGTTGGTAGGTGGTCAGTAGGGTGTTAGTTGGTTGTTAGTAGGGTGTTGATAGGTTGTCAGTAAGGTGTTGGTAGATGATCAATAGGGAGTTGGTAGGAGGTCATCAAGTTGCTGGTGGGTTGTCAGTAGGGTGTTGATAGTTTATCATTAGGTTGTTGGTAATTAGGGTCTTTATCATGGAGTTTTGGGAGAGTTAAATAATTTTAATAAGAATAGAAACAACTTTGAGTAAAACTTTCTCATTTCTAAAGCTACAAGAAAAATTCAACACTGCCAATTCCACCATTGATTGTCTCAACGAGCAGTTGGTTCAGATGAGCAGAGCTGATTCATTATCTAAGGCAAGAGAACAACATGAGTCRATACTGAATGCCGTCAGGAAGAGACAGGAAGATGAGATACTCAGACTGAAGCAGAAACTGGACGACACTCAGGTCTCACTAAACTGGAAGGTAATCATTACAATCATCATCATCATTTATCATTAGCATCATCACCATCATATAGCACCATCATCATCACCATCATCATCACCACCATCACCATCATGTATCACCATCATCATCATCACCAACATTATCATCACCATCATCATTATCATCAACATCATCATCACCACCATGTATCACCATCATCACCAGCAACTTCATCATCATCACAATCATCATCACCATCATTGTCCGCCACCATCAGAAATGCACCATCATCATTACGACCACTACCATCTTCATCATCACCACCACCACTACTACCATCACCATCTTCAGTCATAACCAGTTTTGTCGCCATCATCACAACAACCATCAGCCATAATCATTTATCACCATCATCACTAACGCCACGTGCTATATATATGATACATGTTGCTAAACACATATGGCAATAAACTTTGTTATAATATGTCAGAACAGTAATCAAGCTTAATCTGAAACTTAATCACACACACACACACACATATACATACCTACCTACGTACATACGTACATACATACATACACACACACATACATACATACATACATACATACATATTCTTTACATACAATCTTTATTCGATTAAGCAGGTTAAAAAGTGTGGCAGCAAATGCAACCGCTCTCTATTTGCACATTGGAAGACTGTTTTTAAGGTTAACAATGACTGCATGTGGTTCCCATAGCAACTCTATGTTTTTTTAAAATTACAGACAGAAGAAGCTAACAGGCTAAGGGATGAGGTCATGGAGAAGGCTAACATAATAAACAGACTGAATAGAACATTGGATGACAGTCAGCGACAGTGTCAGGAACTCCTAAAAACAGGTATGTAATGTACATACTGCAAGTCAGTAGCACACATTTTCCAAAGGATAACCATACTTACTGTATGGGAAGCCATTCCAATATTATGGCATGTTGCACCATGTTCACTCTGTAAGTCAGTATACCATATGTTTCCCACTCATACAATAACTATTCGTATGGGAAACAATTTCAATATTACAGCATGTCTTACCATGTACATGCTTTAAGTCAGTACTGTATATTTCCCACTGACATGATGACCATTCTTATGGGAAGCCATTTCAATGTGTTACAGCATGTCACACTGTTGAAATGCTGTATGTCATTATGGGGCATTTCCTACTCATATGATAACCATTCTTATGAGAAGCCATTGCCAGTCATGCCATTGAGATGCTCTATGTCAGTGTCATATGTTTCCCACTAGGGTAAGACTGCTCTACTCCTTTTTCAGTTCTTATCTCATATTTATATATGTTGATTATATTTTKGTGTATGTAAAGGTACTGTGACAGAAATAGCTAATCTAAGAACACAGCTGCAAGATACTATCAGTGCTAAAACAAAAGTGGATTTGAATTGTACTTCTCTAAAGGTGAATGAATGTCCGTTATAGATTCATGATACATTTGTGTGCTTCCTTGCCTGCCTACTTGCTTGCTTGTCTGCCTCCTTGCCTCCTTGCCTCCTTGCCTCCTTGCCTCCTTGCCCGACTACTTGCTTGCTTGCCTATTTGCTTGCTTGTCTGCTTTCTTGCTTGCTTGCTTGCATGCCTGCTTACTTGCTTGCCTGCTTGCCTCCTTGCTTACCTGCCTGCTTGCTTACCTTGCTGCCTACTTACCTGCATGCTTGCTTGTCATCCCCCCTCTCTTGCTCCCTCAATTCCCTTATCCTTTTAATGTTTCGAAGAAAAATTCTGATTTTTCATGACATCACTTCCCATATTTTTTTGATAACTTATTTACAAACAATACTGKCCTATCATAATATATGTGTGTAATTTTTCATTTGACGTTATATTTCAGAATGAAATATSTGGTCTCAAGGAAGAAATGGCAATGTATCAGAATGCCTTGAAGTATGGCTTTGGTGATCAGACATCAGACAAGCACTCAGAATCCTTYGGAGCTTTAGGGGTGGTCAGAAATCTGAACAATGAAGACTGGGCTACTCCCAAAACTGATGGGTAAGAAAAAGGCCTTTCCCTTTTCCACTTTTTCACTTGGGTAGCATGGGTGGCGTTCGCGGCTAATGCATCGTCTTTCACCGCTGTGAGTCCAACGGGTCGGGTTGCTGGTTTGAGCCCTGCAGTCACCACATGTGAATTGAGTTTATTTGATGTGTTGTTCTCTCCTATGCTACGAGGGTTTTCTCCGGGTTCTCCGGTTTCCTCCCTCCGTAAAAATCAACATGTGAGCTGAGCGGTTGTGTACATAGAATATTGAATGTAGTGGTAGTGTGTGTGGAGGGAACCTCACGGAAGAGCCCCAGATGGGGAGTGGTGGTTGTAAAATATTATTATTATTATTATTATTATTTTACCTTTTTTCACTTTCATTCAATCCCAAAATGGATCTGGTGAGGTTGCCCAAGAGTTGCCCAAAGCTAACTTGTCCACAGTAATGGTTCAGTAATGTAATATATGGTACAGTTGACGGGTGTTGAAGTCAATCCCTGCTAAAGGGAATCGTCAAACCAATAGCATAGAAGAACATAGGGATGCTGAACAACACCTGCATGTTAGGCCCCATCCACACTATATTTTGAAAATTCATTTTCGGTGAAGAATTGTTCCGGATTCACCCGGACTATTGTGGATGATATGCCTAACCGAATAAATTAAAATTCGGATTCAAATTTAACCGGCAATAGTGTGGACGGGACCTTAGTGTATTAATAATGAACAATTTTTTTGAATTTTGCAGGAATAGTACAAAGGCTACTACTGTTGATGCTGTAAGTGGACTGAGRAAAGAACTTGAACATAGCCTGTCCGTTGTACAAGTGAAATCACAACAGATCAGAGACGTAAACAGTGAACTGGAACAGACAAGGGAGAAATGGGAAAATGAGAAGGAAAAAGTGGAAAGAATGGAAAAAATTATGCAAGAACAAGAGGTAAATGGTCTTGCTATCCTCTGCTCTTCCATCCAAACATTAACTGACAGTTCATTCACTCCTTTTTATTTCTTCCATCATTCATCTATCGTTTTATTCATTCATCTATCCAACCATCCGTCAATCCATCCATCCATCCATCCATCCATCCATCCATCCATCCATCCATCCATCCATCCATCCATCCCATCCATCCATCAATCCATCCATCCATCCATAAATCTACCCATCCATCCATCCGTCCGTCTGTCCGTCCGTCCGTCCCTCCATCCATCCATCCATCCATCCATCCATACGAGAATGATCCAATAAGTAGTCCACTCATTGAATCACTTAATTAGTAATATACTTTTTCAATAATTACTCATTCATCCATGCTATTCTTTGAAGGAAAAATTAAACAAACTCAAGGAGCAACTATTAATTAAATCTAATGTCCAGACTGACAAAGGTTCGTTACTCCATTACTCACTGTTACCTTTACTACCATTATCATTGAAATGCGACCTGTAAAGCTTGATGCAATAGACCTCTTYGGCTTGGGGTAATGTTTTCCCATTTCAGACCACGTGCCATTCCCTTGAGAATAAGATTCTTTGTTTGAGCTGTATCCATATTCATGTGTCTTCTCATGTGCAACCAAGCCCAAACCTTAAACAAAGAAATGATACTCTAGGGGAATGACATGTGGTCTTAAATGGGAAAAAATTATGTCAGAGGCGAAGAGGTCTATTAGCAGTCCTAGTTGTCAAATGCATAACTACCCCCCCCCCCCTCTCTTCTCAACCCTGCACCATCAACCAAACCCACCAAGCCCCATCCACCAACCCAAAAAATAAATAAAAATACATTCTTATTTGTTGGAATCAGGACATGTATAATTGATTACTTTTATATTCAGTTGATTCAAGTGATGACTTACAACAAAAGCTAAATGATCTTGAAAATGAAAATAAGGTATGGCCTTTCAATGTGAACTGTTGCCTTCACTCGACTTATCTTTTTGCCCCTCTCTTCACCCCTTAGTTCTCCCCTATTTTTTTCATGCATTGGCCTATCAATATGTGGCTTTTGTGTACAGTAAATAATCAAGGTGGTTTCCCATCATGTAATTGTAAATCTGTTAAAAAAAAGCTTTGAATAACAAATGTTTATAAAAAGTGACTCATCTGAATGGAGGTTTTTAAGTCTCTCATCTAGTTCAAGGGATCTCTGAGTTCTCTGTTGTTCCTCCCTTTTCAAGCTCAATKTCAATTCGATCTGACTAACCAGCTCAGAGCAGGGCTTTCAGAATAAGCTGGCAGCCACCGATGCTACAGTGATTGCTTCAAAGCTAACCGATAGCTACTTTTATTTTTCTATAAATACCTTCTGTTTCTTGTATCATATAACAGCCAGCTCCTTTGGACTTATAACCACCTTACTTCATCCTGAAAGCCCTGTCAGATTTTTTTTCAAGACATTCATGTTATTTTACTCTGGAATGATTGAACTGTTGAATGCTTTAACAGTTTTAAAATGAAGGAATAAAAAGCAGAATAAAAATTTATGCTTTTGGTTTTTTCCTAGGAATTGCTGGAAAGGATTAACAACATGCAAGCTACAAATCAACAGCTAACGGAAGATAACATCAGCTTAAAAAATCAAATGGCTGAGGTAATTAGACCAT